GTGTGTGTGTGTGTGTGTGTGTGTGTGTGTGTGTGTGTGTGTGTGTGTGTGTGTGTGTGTGTAATGAGAAGAATGAAGGATTATATTCCTATTTGTATCTCACATTCACAAGTGACCAATCCATACATTTAGTAACTATATCGAGTTATAGTTACGATTATTATTAAATGTATTAACTGGCCACTTGTGAATCTGAGATCCAAATAGGATTGAAGAGAGCCCACCATAGTATAGACAGGCTTTGTGCATGCACCCACCCCAGGCTCTGCCAATGCAACTCTGCCCTGATTAGAAGCATCATCTGCTGTGTTAGCCTTTGTCCTGCTAGTGGACTGCAATCCTGCCCTGCTGGCCCCCCATGCTGTTCAAAACCTGGACCCACACACAGCTCCGCCGCTCAGGCTTGATCTCAAGGGCACTCTTGATTGCAGTCCTATACCTCTGTAACACTCTGCTCCTGGTTCTCCAACATTACATTCCTAGGCCTTCCATCCTCTTTAAGCTGTAGCAACCCTGCTATGCCAATTATAGGTCACTGCACAAAGCTGTGCAAACGCACACCTGTCTGCTCTCTCTTGCCACACATCCTGATGCTGCACCTGTGGGCCCACATGCAGGTCAAGAAAGACCTGCATGTGTCCCCCCACCTGCTCCACCCTGAATGAGCCGAAAGTACAAATCACAACAAAGTGTTTTTGTCATACGCCTCTACCCCGATATAACACTGTCCTCGGGAGCCAAAAAATCTTACCGCGTCATAGATGAAACCGTGTTATATCGAGCTTGCTTTGATCCACCAAAGTGCGCAGCCCCACCCCCCCACCGCCACCGCGCTGCTTTACCACGTTATATCCAAATTCATGTTATATCAGGTCGCGTTATATCGGGGTAGAGGTGTGTAATCTGAAGACTGGGACTTGGTGAGTGCACGCCAGTCACACATACTGGCAAGCAGAATCTGGATTTTGACCCAGCTCTGCAGAGATGAAAGGCCCGTGCAGTGACCCAAAAGCCTCCCTTATTATTAAGAATAATAAGAATAATAGAGGCATTTCATTCCAAGGAATAAATTCCTGCAGAGATTCATAGTGACTATAGGAAAAGATATGTAGCGTACACAAGCGGTGTGCTCTGCACTTCCTTCGCTCTCTTCCCCCCTAAACTAAAGCATCCCTAGCTCTCCCCTTGGCTTTCAGGAGGCCTAGACATGCTGATCCTCAACCACGTTGGCAACTCATACTTCAACTATTTCGACGGAGACGTGGGGCACGTGCAGAAGCTTCTGAAGATTAACTTTCTCAGCTACGTGGCCATGACTGTTTCGGCGCTGCCCAGGCTGAAAGACAGCAGGGGCAGCATCGTGGTGGTTTCATCCATGGCAGGTGAGCCATGAACGGGGGCAGAGACCTTGGGGCTGATTTTCAGAAGTGATGGGCACCCAAAAATCCAAGGGATATCAATGGGAGAGGCAAGTACTCAGCACCTTCAAAACGAAATATAGCTCAGTGGTTTAAGTATTGGCCTGCTAAACCCAGGGTTGTGAGTTCAATCCTTGAGGGGGCCATTTAGGGAAGTGGGGTAAAAATCTGTCTGGGGATTGGTCCTGCTTTGAGCAGGGGGTTGGACTAGATGACCTCCTGAGGTCCCTTCCCACCCTGATATTCTATGATTCCCTTGGGTTTTGCTCCCCCTAGCTGTTTGCCAATAGAAGCTGAACACCTTGGCATGCTTCTTGATTATAAGCAAAGGGGCTCATTGGAGGAGCCCAGCTCAAGCTCTTCAAATATTGGCATTACAGTCTGACCAGAACAGACTGGAAATATGTGGCTTTCTCTTTGTCTTGGCTATTTGACTGACTAGACAGGGTCATTTTGTTTCTGTGGATCAAATTCAACAGCCAGCTGACCCCCTAGCTGATAGTTCGTTGGCTTACATGAAGCATCTTAGGTGACAGGTTTCCCTATTGTAAATCTGCCATCTTAGTCAACCCCTTGCTGGTGAGCTCAGCTGAGGAGCCAAGGACCCAAACGGCCACTGAGACTGACTCCACGTTGTAGGTGATCTCTCCAGGTCAGGTCTGAGCACATCAGTTGAGAGCATTGAAGGTGGGAAGCCGCCCGCTCTGTGCATGAACAGGACATTTGGGCTGGGCTATTCAAAGGACCTTAAGGGTACGTCTACACTTACCTCCGGGTCCGGCAGCAGGCAATCGATGTTCTGGGATCGATTTATCGTGTCTGGTTTAGACGTGATAAATCGATCCCGGATCGATCCCGGAAGTGCTCGCCATCGACGCCGGTACTCCAGCTCGGCAAGAGGAGTACGCGGCATCGACGGGGGAGCCTCCATGCCGCGTCTGGACCCGCGGTAAGTTCGGATTAAGGTACTTCGAATTCAGCTACGTTATTAACGTAGCTGAATTTGCGTACCTTAATCCGAAGTGGGGGGTTAGTGGGGACCAGGCCTTAAGAGAGTTAAAAGCAATAGGATTTGAGTGCCTGTTTACCTTTGTGTCCTCTGAACCCCCCAGCCTGCGTCTCTGGGGCAGTCGGCGTGACACTTCACCGGCACTCAACGCACTTGGAAAGAATGTTCCATCTGGTGCAGAATCAAATAAAGCTTTCTGCAGCACTGCAACAGAACTTAACTGTGTCAACATTGCTGCTCTGTGTCTAGGTAAAGTTGGGTTTCCATTTACTGCTCCCTACTCTGCAACGAAGTTTGCCCTAGATGGGTTTTTCAGCTCCTTGCGGCAGGAATTAATCATTCAGAAGGTTGATGTTTCCATCACGCTCTGTATACTCGGCTTCGTTGATACAGGTAAGATCAGTGCCATGTGAACCTTGCTGATTAGGAACTAGTCACCCTCCAAGTTCAAGCATTTTATCCTAACTTTCAAGTTGCTTCACAACTCTCCGCTCCATTCCTCCTCCTCTCTTGCCTCTGATCCACCAATGCTACTTGTCAACTCCCCACAAACATTCTTGCCTTCTTTCATGCCACCCCGAATACACGGAATGTCCTCTCTGGACTGATCTGGAAGGACACTACCCCCACCCTCCTCCAAAGCCTGGCCTACACTGAAATTTTATACCAGCATAACTATGTCAATCAGCGAAAAAAAACACACCCTGCCTTGCATAATTATGCTGACAAAGCCAGCAGTGTAGCTGCAGCTCTGTCAACTGAAGAGTACTTCCATAGACGTAGCTAATGTTGTAAGGGGAGCGACAGCGGTAGCAAAACTCATTCTGTTGCTCTACTACGTCTACACTAGGGGGCTATGCCGGCACAGCTCCAGTGACATAACTATGATGGGATAAGCTCCATAGTGTAGACATACCCTCAGACCCGTTTCTGACTCATCATTTCAAAGAAATCAGTCAATGAATAATGGCTAGCCAGCCTGACGTGCAGTTAGGATGAGTCTGCAGGCCAGATCCTCAGCTGGTATAAACTGACATAGGTCCACTGAAGTGAATGGCATGACACCAATTTACACCAGCTGAAGATGTGGCTGTATATTTATGTACTGATGTAATTACAACGTGAATATATAAAAAGTGAAAGTGTCTGCATGAGAGTTGCTTGGAAAATGGGAGAAGTGGGGGGGAGGGGCGGGGAACTTACAACATTTTGCAAAATTCTCTTCCTCTGTTGAAATTTCCAATTCTGTTTTGTCTTGTTTTTACAGGCTCTAGTATGCCTATCAAAATCATTGAAAGTGAGCTGAATCCCTCTCCCCAACCCTTATGTGGCTCATCTGCTTAAATCATAAGCTCTTGGGGGCAGGGATTGCATCGACCTCTACATCTGTACAGGGCCTAGCACAATCGGGGCTCTTGTCTAGTCTTGACTGGGGCCTCTAGTGTTACCACGATACAGAACAATAAGAGAGGGGTTATGCTGGTTTTCTCCCAGGCTCACTAAGCCACGCAAGGCTCAATTGATGTTAAATGGCTTAAAAACAACAATTAAAATAAGCAAATCCAAGCTGGGTTCAGCTGGCCCCGGAGGTGCAGGGCTCACTAGTGGAGAGCACTGCAAATCTAACCAAGCTCCTTTTGTTCTACTGTGCTAGAAAGTGCCATGAAAGCAGCTTCTGATGTGGTTCTGGTGTCCCCTGCACCGAAGGAGGAGTGTGCGCTGGAAATCATCAAGGGGGGAGCCCTCCGCCAACGGGAAATTTACTACAAATACGCAGCTACCAAAATCCCCCTCTTGATCCGGGACTGGGCTCCAGAACTCCTGGATTATCTGATCAGAAGAAGCTACAATGTGGAGAACCTAAAGAAAAATTAATCAGTCTGAGTTCTCCAGTGCCTTTCCGCTCATACCTGTCTCTGGGGTTACCTTAATCAAGGCCTGGTGTGCTGTGGAGCTCCCTAGCCCAGGCTCCTTCTCACTTAGGGAATGCAATGCTGGGATCCCTCATCGTGTGACCCTGGGATCATGTGGCATTTTACAGTCCTGAAAACCATTGCAGCATGCCTAGGGTTGCCAGGTGTCTGGTTTTCGACTGGAACGCCCGTCAAAAAGGGACCCTGGTGGCTCCAGTCAGCACCGCTGACCAGGCCGTTAAAAGTCCAGTAGGCACTGCAGCGGGGCTAAGACAGACTCCTTGCCTGCTGTGGCTCCGCGCGGCTCGCAGAGCCAGCAGCATGTCCCCCCTCCGGCTCCTACGCGTAGGGGCATCCAGGGGGTTCTGCCCGCTGCCCCCGCTCCAAGCAACAGCTCTGTAGCTCCCATTGGCCAGGAACAGCGGGCAATGAGAGCTGTGGGGGCGGCGCCTGCGGATGAGGTGGCGCACAGAGCTGCCTGGCCACGCCTCTGCGTAGGAGCTGGAGGGGGGACACACCACTGCTTCTGAGAGCTATCTGAGGTAAGCGCTGCTCACAGCCTGCACCCCTGACCCCCTCCTGCGCCCTGGCCCAGACCTGATCCCCTCCCACCCTCTGAACCCCTCGAACCCAGCCTGGAGCACCCTCCTGTACCTCAAACCCCTCATTGCCAGCCCCACCCCAAAGCCCGCACCCCCAGCCAGAGCCCTCATCCCTCCCGCACCCCAACCCCTTGCCCCAGTCTTGAGACTGCCCTGCCCTCCAAACCCCTTGGTCCTAGCCTGGAGCACCCTCCTGCACCCCAAACCTCTCATCCCCAGCCCCACTCCAGAGTCTGCACCCACAGCAGAAACCCTCACACACACCCCAGCCCAACCCCCTGCCCCATCCCACATCCTGAACCCCTCATTTCTGGTCCCACTCCAGAACCCGCACCCTCAGCCCAGATCCTGTACCCCCTCCCACACCCCATCCCCAGCCCACAGCCCTCACCCATACTCTGAACCCCTGGGCTCTACCCCCCAGCATGGAGCCCTCACACCCCCCCGCACCTCTCATTCCTCCCACACACACCACCACCCCCTGCCTCAGCCCGGACTCCTCATTTCTGTCCCCACCCCAGAGCCTGCACCCCCAGCCGGAGCCCTCACCCCCCTCCTGCACCCCAACCCCCTGGGCCAGCCCAGGGAAAATGAGTGAATGAGGGTAGGGAAAGCGAGCGACAGGGGGGGAGGGGGAATAAAGTGAGCGGGGGCAAGGCCTAGGATAAGTGGTGGGGCAGGAGCGGGGCCTTGGAGGAGGGGCAGGGCAGAGGTGGGCCAAGGGTGTTCAGTTTTGTGCCAGTAGAAAGCTGGCAACCCTAAGCATGCCACTCCTGTCATTACCGGATACAAACGCGTGCACTCCTGCTCCTGCAGCTGGGAGCACGGTGAAGTCATGCTGGCTTTGAAAACCCATGTTTTGAAAAGATTTTTGAATTCGGTGCCCTGGGATTGCATTTCCTACTCTTCCTTAGCTCGCATTTCTCTGCATTTGAACAGACTTAAGGACTAACTGACTTCGCCAGTAAAATGCAATGGCCATTGCCTTTACCTCCACCTTGTCTCAATATGGTCTTTATGAGACATTTTTATTTAAGGGAACTAGGATCTTGTTGCACCGTTGATTGTTAGTCTATGTATATGTCAGCTGCCTATGAAGAGATCTTTGCAGAGAGGGAAGGATTGTATTTTATCCCATACCGCCCTCTCCTGGTGCATAAAATCCTTGCAGCAGGCGGATTTGAAATTCACAGAAGAGAGGCAATGCCTTAACAATATAACAATATTAGAACGGCCCTTGTGATCAAGCAGACTGTGGGGAAGGTCATTTCCAGAGCAGAAATCTGGCAATGTTTGTTTTAAAAATCTTTGTTTTGATTTTTTTAAGCTAATAGACAGCACTTTGTATTTGAAATGAAGATTGCAATTCCTTCAAAATTCCTCTAGATCATGGAGTCCTGGCTGTAAACATGGAAAACTACAGTATCCTGTCCCAGGAAAAGTCAGACAATTTCTACTCCAGAAATGTATCAATGTTTACTCAAGAAAGAAGACTGCCCACCCCCCACCACAACCCAAAGCCAAGTGGCCTGATTTTCAGAGGGGCTGAGTGCCCGCAGCTCAATGGGAGATTGGCATCTCTAAAAAATAGCAGGCCAAGACCTAACAAAAACTAGCCAGCATTCCAGCAAACCCCATTGCTTTAGCTATAGTATCTGGAATAATATAACTACATAATACAGAATACATAGCAAAAGAAGTATCCAGAATGTCTCTGACCTCAGTTCTGACTTCTTAAGAGCTGGATTATGGTTACATAACAGCTGGCATTTGTGGTGACTGGCAGAGCAAGCTATCTCCATCAAAGATGACTGCTAGCAGACAGCAGCGCTGGCTTTCTGTTTCCCTTTTTGTGGCAAATAATTAGTGCTGATGGAAATTTTCCAAATTTAAATTACATTTTTTCCACAGGTACAAAAAATTGAAAAATGTTCATGAAATTGTTCCCCTCTTTTTCCGAAGAACTCTAATAAAAGTGTCATGGTGAAACTATCTCCTGTCCCCAAATCTGAGCTGAAGTTGAAGGAGAGATGGCTGGACTCTGCACCATGGGATTTGTTCATAACACATGCCCAAGACTGAACAAAGCATGAAAGACAGAAATCTCCAACAACTCCACCACCACCCTTCCAGCCAGCCCTGGCCTTACAAACACACAGAGCTGTGGAGCATGTACCAGGGGAAATGTAGTGACGTGAATTCATTATTAAAATAAAATTCACTAACCTTAGAGTTGTGTATATTCCCCCCCCCTTTCTCCATTACATCTTTTTGGCCCATACTACCTGGCTGCAGTGCCATTGACTCCAGTTGAGGCCTTATCTACATAGGGAAGCCGCACCAGTTTAACCTGACGGTATGTCTACACTACAAACACTACAACGACACAGCTGTAAACTGTGTCATAGACACTTTCTACATCGACGAAAAGGATTTTCCATTGCTGTAGTAAACCCGCTTCTCTGATAGGCAGTAGCTAGGTTGACAAAGGAATTCTTCCATCAACCTAGTGGGGTCTACACTGGGGCTTAGATTAGCATAACTATGTCGCACAGGGCGTGAAATTTTTCACAGTCCTGAGAAATGTATCTGAGTTTTAGGTGTAGAGCAGGCCTAAGGTGTACATTTAAAGACATAGTTGAACTGGTGTGAGCCCCTGTGTGGACGTACCTATTTTGGTGGCTTTTCTCCAATTAAGTTAGGGCCTGGGTCTACACAGTTTTGTACCAGTATAACTATTTTGGATGGGGTGGTGATTATACATATTACAGAAAAGTAGTTATACCGGCACAAAGTTATTCTGGTGTAGGTTATTCCCCCCTTCCCATATGGGAATAGCTATCCCAGTATAAAGCACCTTTGTACAGTGTAACTACATCCACACTTGTGGGATTGTACCACTTCAACTATATTGTTAGCGGCCTGATCTATGCTTACAATTTATACCGGCATAGCTATATTGGTAAGGGATGTGGGTTTTTTTGGTTGGTTGGTTTTTTTACTGACTTTGCTGTGCCCGTATAAGCCCTAATGCAGATGCATTTATACCAGCATAAAAGTGCTTTTGCCAGTACATCTTGTGTCTCCTGGGAACTGGTGTCAGCTATGCTGGCAGAAACACTTCTGCTGGTATAACCTGCATGTACTCTAGGAGGGTTTGCTGCTATAGCTATGCCAGCAAAACCTTTCTAGTGTAGACAAGGCCACGGTTAAAGCAATATAATTTTTTATGTGTAGACAACTGTGGATTGGGAACAGGTTTAAGCCACTCTTAAACCTGGTCAACACTAGAAAAGTGATAGAATTTCAACTGTTGGTTAGAAGTGTGTGTGGGGGGGGTGTTTGTTTTTTTACTGAGATAGTTATACTGGTGTAAACCCTAATGTGGGTGCAGTTTTAACACTATAAGTTGTCTTATAACTGTATAGCTTATTTTGCTTCCCAAACTGAAATAAGCTATACCACAATAAGGACTTTTATACAGCATAACTGCATCCATGCTAGGTTTTTCTTTGCAACATAAATATAATGGCATAGTTAAAGCAGTAAATAATCTTAGGGTATGTCTACACTATGAGAGTAGTTCGATTTTACTTAAATCGAATTAGTGGAACCGATATTACAAAGTCGAACGTATATATCCACACTAAGAACAGTAATTCGACTTTGTGAGTCCACACTAATGCGGCAAGCGTCGACATTGGAAGTGGTGCACTGTGGGCAGCTATCCCACAGTTCCCGCAGTCCCTGCTGCTCATTGGAATTCTGGGTCGAGCCCCCAATGCCTGCTGGGGAAAAAAATGTGTCGAGGGTGGTTTTGGGTAACTGTCATCATTAAACCGTCACTCCCGCCCTCCCTCCCTGAAAGCGCCGGCGGGCAATCAGTTCGCGCACTTTTCTGGTGAGTGACAGCGTGGACGCCACAGCACTGCGAGCATGGAGCCCGCTGCGATCATCGCTGCAGTTATGGCCGTTGTCAACACCTCGCAGCTTATCATCCACCTTTTTCAGAGGCAGATGCTGAAAAATCGGGCGAGGAGGCTACGGCAGCGCGGTGAGGACATTAAGTCTGAGAGTGGCACAGACCTCTCACAAAGCACGGGACCCCGTGCCGTGGACATTATGGTGGCAATGGGTCATGTTGATGCTGTGGAACGGCGATTCTGGGCCCAGGAAACAAGCATGGTGGGACCGCATAGCGCTGCAGGTCTGGGATGAATCACAGTGGCTGCGAAACTTTCGCATGCATAAGGGGACTTTCCTGGAACTTTGTGAGTTGCTGTCCCCTGCCCTGAAGTGCAAGGACACCCGGATGCGAACAGCCCTGACTGTCCAGAAGCAAGTGGCCATAGCCCTCTGGAAGCTTGCAATGCCAGACAGCTACCGGTCAGTCGCGAACCACTTTGGTGTGGGCAAATCTACCATGGGGGTTGCTGTGATGCAAGTAGCCAACGCAATCGTTGAGCTACTGCTCTCAAAGGTAATGACCCTGGGAAACGTGCAGGTCATCATAGATGGCTTCGCAGCAATGGGATTCCCAAACTGCGGTGGGGCTATAGATGGAACTCACATCCCTATCCTGGGACTGGACCATCAGGCCAGCCAGTACATTAACAGAAAGAGCTACTTTTCAATGGTGCTGCAAGTACTGGTGGACCATAGGGGACGTTTTACCAACATCAACGTCAGATGGCCGGGCAAGGTTCATGACGCTTGTGTTTTCAGGAACTCTGGTCTGTTTAGACGGCTGCAGGAAGGTATTTACTTCCCGGACCACAAAATAACTGTTAGGGATGTGGAGATGCCTATAGTGATCCTCGGGGACCCAGCCTACCCGCTAATGCCCTGGCTCATGAAGCCCTACACAGGCGCCCTGGACAGTGAAAAAGAACTCTTCAACTATCGTCTGAGCAAGTGCAGAATGGTGGTGGAGTGTGCTTTTGGCCGTCTCAAGGGGAGATGGAGAAGCTTACTGACTCACTCTGATCTCAGCGAAACCAATATCCCCATTGTTATTGCAGCTTGCTCTGTCTGTGCTCCACAATCTCTGTGAGAG